CCGACTAGTGGACGTGATCGCTGCGTTTTCATTTGAAGAAGTTGATGGTTGTGGACCAGCCACTGGCTCCTCAATGGGCTGGATGGACAGAGTAGTGAGTTTTTGAAAAACGTTGAGGAGAAAGCTCTGAAATTTAATATATATTAGTGAAATTAAAACCTTATCAACATATTGCTTACAATAATGTTTTCCTTCTGCTGTGACGAAAATAATCCTGAACCACGGAAAGAGTACCTGGGGTCGATATATAAGGCAGCTTGCATCGCATAATTGTTTAGAAGAGATGTTTCTCGCCGTTGCATTCCATCTAATATGCCGCTTTGAAACATGTTGGATTGAATGGATGCCACTCGTCCAAAGGCTGTCATCCAGTGTCCGAAAAAGTCGCTGAGAGTGCAGTTCAGGCTTTGAATTGCAATTGTACAGTCATAAAGAGGCTGCAAAGCTTCCACGTAACCTTCAATTAGACACCACAGATCTGTCAAATCTATAAAGAATGCGAAAAAAAAACATACATATTAAATACTTTAACATTGTTTGACAACAAACTGCAGTTGATTATCGCCCACACACACCACCCACTGGCACACTACACAAACACTATTAAGTTACTTACTCAGCTCTTCAAATTCTTCACCAAGTTTCATGAAAAAATCCCTTTGATTCACCAGTGTCCTCATCATCAAGTAATGGGAATTCCAACGAGTTGGTACGGGTGTCACTGGGTACTTTCCTCCAGAAATATCAAAAAAGTTCTTGTACTTAGCATTGCGATACAAGATAGCAACTTTCGTGACCTTTTTGAGGTCTGCCTGATGGCTTTTACAAGCATCTGCTACTACTAGCTGTGCAGTATGTGCTCCGCATCGAACTGTTACCAACGTGTGCCCAATCACCGATTCCAGATCTGAAAGCATTCCTTCCAAGACTTCGTCCTGCTCTTCAAGGTCTTCTCCGGCCGCCGTGTCGCACTCGATACTGTCCTCATATTCCTCTTCTGGCACTGTTTCCTTTTCGATTAAGGAAGACATCTTTACCATATTCTTACCGTTATCTATGGTAATGCTATAGATTTGATGTGGATGGATTCCAAACCGATCGAGTATAGCGAATACGACTTCCTTCAAATGCATCGCTGTATGACGCTCACGGAGTTCTATTATGGCTGTAATTAAATATCTACATTAGAAACTAATCGAAACTTATAATGTAAGAATCATGTTACCAAGGGTCCGTTTCTGGAGTATACCGTGGCTATCGATGAATTGGATGTTTAATCCGAGCACGCTACGATGCATTTTCGATGCGATGTCAGCCTTAAGCGAAAGCATTTTTTCCTTCACTTCCGTTTTTATTTGCTCATCTATACCAGCGGCGGTGGTTGCCACGTTCTGGCAAATATTATGACTGTTAATGGTCACATGCAGGGTATCACAATATGGCTTTATCAGGTCCTGCAGACCATCCCATACAGCACACATGAATGGAAGCCCATGTAACGACACCATTTTAACTACTCCAGCCAATAGCTTCGCCTTAGTCATACGGACGGGAATGAATGGATCCGGTTTTTCTTCCGGTTTGTTCACCTCCACCTCTCCCAGACCAAGGAGTAGGTACTCCATGGAATGATGGGATTGGATGTACCTCTTAAAATTGCCAACATTGAGCTTCGCTTGTGTATACATACATTCTGGATCAACTGCACAACGGTGTTCTCCGGTTGGCAACGAAGCTTTCACCCGGCTTATGATATCCGACACACTCCGACGCTTCTTCGGGTTAGAAACACCACTATCATCTGCCATGTTCCCCGTGATCCTCAAATATTTCCGGCACAGGTCACTTTCAAATGATGAATTCACTTTCCGCACGCAAACGATGATCCAAAATGAAGAACCAAAACAACAGTTAGGGCACATCCATAAATTACGTGGATTTTGAGGAGTAATGGAGAGGGGGTTTTACCATTTGTAAAGGATCATGCATAAGGTATAGCAAAAAAAGCCACGAAGGGGAGGGGAAGGTCCAAAATTGGTAAAAAAAAATTGCAACGTCGTATATGGATGACCCTTATGATTTGACAGAAGGTATAAAAATGAAATAAAAAAAATTCTGCCGGACTGTTTGAACCCAATGAAATGCAAACAGGTGAGGCTATGTGAATTCATTGTCTCTTTCATTCTGCCGTTGTTTAAATGGATAACACAGTATGACGTCACACTCCGTCAGCCATTTAATCAGCGGAAGAACGAAAGAGACGGTGAATTCCCAAGCCTCATCTGTTTACATCACATTGGGTCGGAACTGAACAATTTGGGGTGGTATTTTTTTCGCTCTTGGTAGTTTTCAGTGCCAAATGGGTGATGAAAAAGTATTTTTGTAGGTTTTTGAAGAGAGATATTTTCGGATTATGTATGAGAGAGGATAATGAATTATTGGTGAAATGGGAGAGATGAAAATATGACCGGTTCACAACTCACCGAAAAGTAGCTTGAGTGAGGACATGCTTATCTTGCAGCTGAGTGAGAATTTCTATCTCTGACCACAAGTTAAACAACGCCCAACTATGGACAGCTCAATGTTAATACCATTTACTCTATGAATCAGCGTACACCAATATGATAATCTTCTAAGAAACACCGAAGAATGTATAAGATAAAGTTCACAATACAGTTTTAACTGATGGTACTTTATAAACATCAAACTGTCCAATATTGGACCCTGCCAACAGACGGCGTCGGCACGGTAATGTGGGCCATCAGAATGGTTCATCGGTTGCGAAGTGAAGTGCTTCTCAAACTGAAGCGATACATTTTTCAATTTTTCAGCGTTATCCTAACGTAAACTTAATATTATCACCCATATCCACGCCCGAAGCCCATCCACAACACAAAATCAAATAAAAATGTTTCTGTATGACAAACACGTCCAGACATAAACGAGAATATGGGTGTATATCTTTACTGTAACCACTACGGATAATCATCGAAAGTACTTGCATTTTAATCAGGCACTTTTGAGCAAACTGCAATGACTCTCTCATACTAGAAATGTGTCACGACCAACTTGGCACAACGACGCCCTATATATACGCTTTCTGACCAAAGCGCAGGAAACTTTCATCAATTTCTCATGCGTCATAACTTCTTTTACACCAATGTAGAGGCATTTTTCTCAGTGCTACTTTCATGCAGTCCAGTGGTCAGTCTGGTCTTATGATCTACACATAAATGTATCGATCTTATAAATTTACGAAAATAACATGATTCCCAAGTAAACACCAAGCCCGTTAATAACCTGATAGAGGCCTGTTTTGAAATTTTTTTTTTTTTATTTATTAATTTATTTGATAAGGCTCAACCGAATTAACTTTACAGAGCCGAGGATTCTTGGTCACTATACAATACATTTTAAAACTATAGTCAAAAGGTACAACACAATAAACACTTTATCTTCCGCTATCCAAAAAGCCTCCTCCATCAGAACTGGAGCCGCTTCCAGAAGTTTCATTGTATGGCAATTTGTTGTACGCCAACGAGGGTCAGAGCGCGTCCATTGCAGTAATGGACGCAAAACGTGGTCAACACTCACACACTCATCACGAAACGGTTGCTTTTCAAAGTCGACGACGCATCGACCGAAAGAACTGCTGATGAAGAACAATGAGGAGGACCACACAATGGTTGCTGCCGAGAAAACAGACGATCGCGTAGCACACATCGAGAGTGGCCTGCTTTTGTCGACAGCCGAGTGAACACTGTGTTTTGAAATATATGGCTGATATACGGCTTTAATATTTTATGTTAGCCGTATACCAGCCTTATTTTGCACTTTTCGAATTAGTTGGATTGATGATTACTTGGTTATGCAATATAAGATTGTGACATATTTTCCAACCCTGGAACGGACTGGGAATCGAACCCTGCAACCTTCAGCATGGTCTTGCTTTGTAGCTGTGCCTTTAGCAACTGAGCTAAGAGAGGCTGAGGATTAGTTTAGGAAATCTAAATAAGACTCAGTGGTCACCTTTAAGATGTTTGGTTGAATTTCGAATGAGTTAAGTGAACTCTACAGAAGTCTGGTAAATAATGAAGAAACTTCTTGAATTTCAAATACGATCAATAGAATTACGATAAATTCAGAGAAATTTGAACGCATACTCATTGCAATGAAAGAAATATCAAGAATGCTCAGGGATCATCTCAGAAAAGGTTGGTAGGAATTCAGAAAAGCTTATGAACATTAGAAAGGCTACTCAGAGAGGTTCAAAGAAATTAAGGATGATTATGGTAATATTAGAGAAGTTCAAGTAGTTCCGGGTTTTGCAAAAAAGTTTAGAGAATTTCAAAAAAAGTTTAGGAAATCTTGAAATTGGTTTAAAGACCTTTATTAAGATCTTCAAAATTAAGGAAATTAAGGAAACTACAGTACTTTTAAGACGTCCAGAAAACCTATTAAAATCGTGGAACCTCAAAAATTTGTTAAAATCATAAAAGAAGTTCAGGAAATCTTACACAAATTAAGGGAATCAGATGGATATATACTATAGGACATTTTATAGAAGTTCAATTTTTTTTGGAGAGATTCAATATAGACTCAGATAAGTTCACCGAAAATCCACTACCCGTTGAGATATTTCTGGTTGAAAATTGTAACAGAATTTACTGAAAACCTATGAATTATTGTTCGAGTGGATTTGGAGAGGATTTTATTTTCAATTTCTCGTAACAACCCTAAAAATGACAGCAATTGACCAGCGCAGGTTTCAGTTTATGGTGCGTCTCTCATTGGATGTGAACTGAATGTAATTATCGCAAAATTACGAAAAATCTGTTACGCGAAATACGGTTATGCAACCTTGCTCAGAAAAAACTTTCACATCTTCCACACAACTCCCCCTCTAATCCCTACTCTCAGTATTCAAAATTTATGATACAGAGAATACAGAGGGTTGAGTGTTCACTCGGCTGTCGACAGAAACAGGCCACCCTCGATGTTTACTCGGCAGCAGCCATTGTGTGGTCTTCCTCATTGTTCTTCTTCAGCAGTTTTTTCGGTCGATGGGTTGATGGGTCGTCGACTTTGGAAAGCAACCATTTCGTGATGAGCGTGTAAGTGATGACCACGTTTTGCGTCCATTGCTGAAATGGAAGCGCTTAGTCCCCCATTGGCGATACTGTCATACAATGAAACCACTGAAAGCGGATCCCGTTCTGATGGATGAGGCAAATTGTATAGTACAAGATAAAGTGTTTATTGTAATGTACCTTTTTACTACAGTTTTACGATGTTTTTGTGTAGTGAACAAGAATCCTCGACTCTGTAAAGTTAATTCGAATGAGCCTTATCAAATAAATTAATAAACATGATATTTAATTAGCATTCACACAGACAATTTGCAAAACAATCTGGCATCCGTACTGATCGTATTCAGTAGCGCGTCATCCTGAATTGAATAAACTCAAAATTCCGGTCATTTTGTGTACGAAAATGCGTAACTTTATCAACAAAAAACGAGGCGTTTCCATGATGGGAAAAGTGGTTTCCCAAACACAACAGAATATTGATACCGAGCTCGAAATTCTTACTTTTTTAAAAGACGCTAAAACGAATTCAGTTGAAGGCAGGAAAATATGCAATTGTGATCGTTGATTACCCTTATTTAGGTCGATGCAAATTATATTTGTAGTGTGTTGTTTATTTGCTTATTCATCTTCATCTAACAACAAGCCAACACAAACAAACGGAATGCACGATATCAATGTTGATTATGTGATATACAATCTTGTAGTTTGACAAGCCTTACGATCTTATCCAATTTTATTTGTGATACAGTACGATACAAAAAATGATTCATCGCATACAAGTCGTAAATTTGCCTTCTATGTGATTAAACTTAAATATAATACGTTGTTCCTCATTCCTAAATACGATGTTTACTTAATCTGTAGAAATTTACGATTCTACCTGTACATTTTTATACGACTTCTGGTTGTCTGGGAAGCCTACTGCTCAACATCGCGCTAGAAGGTGCAATGAAACGTGCGAGATTTAAAATATGGGGCACGATCTTCAATAAATCCAGCCAGTTCATTTGCTTCGCTGACGACGAGGACATTGTTGAAAGAACGTTCCAGACGGTCGCGAAGCAATACACAAGGATGAAACGTGAAGCAGAAAAAGTTGGATTAAAGGTGAATACGTCGAAGACAATGTTTGGACTGGTTTAAGATTTGGGCGTAACTGTTTTTGTAAACATTGTTTTCCTCTGTTCGGGCCATAAAACCACTACGACCAGTAATTTGATCTATTATAGTATATCTCGTGTCCATAATTTAATACATGTCGTATTACTCTATCACTATTGAGAAATGATGAAGTGTTCGGTTTTGATACAGTTGTCATTCTTGTCATCATCGCAAGAAACCGATTCTAATTGAAAGATCCCGCTTATTATACCCTTCGAAGAGCTAAAGTACCCTCCGGGCTCTTTTATCAGTCAAAATCGGATTCATTAGCAACAAAATCAAGAAATGACACCGATAATGACCATGCATCAGGAACCTATTTTAAAACCACTTGAAATTACAACGAATAGAAGATTAGGAATCACATAGATGAATACTAACCAACATATTTTTCCTTCAAGGTTTCAAGGTTATCCTCGGTGGAGCAACCCGAGTCTAGTCACTATTAACAAAGCTTAAAACGTAACAAGGGCTAAGTTGTGTTCCGTTGATTACTGAAAAATCCTGTTCCCTAGTTTATAGTTGTCAGAACTAGGGTTCGGTAGTAGATCTTATACCAGTAACACATCACGAAAAGGTGATCTACCAGCGTTACTGGTCTTCGCAAGCTTACAACACACTCGGGTAGGGAAGTGATTCCTCTAGCAGTAGGTATAGCTTGTTTGCAAAATCGAGCATTTATTCACGAGAAATCGGTGATGGAAACCATTTTTGGGGCCTTGTCCATCCAACCCACAACATCGAAAGGGGGTAAAAGCCTCTGGTTGAACAATTGCCTTGCCTGGGGTGAAAATATATCCTGTCCTTCCTAGTGTCTTACGGGAATGTTTCGGCCATCGTTGGTTACACAAAACAAAGGTTTTTCATTAAACTGACAGTTCACAATAAAACTTCTTTATTTAACACACAACGTGTTTACATTTATACGTAGTAGGGCCATTAGGATCCGTTTGCCATACCGAGCTAATTGCAATCTATAACATACATGATTTACTATACCTACCCGATCACCACGTAATCGTGAATCCATGACGTCACCAATCTCTCCAAACCGATCGAAGATGTATGTTTTCCTTGGTGATCGTCACAGCTGGTAGAGAGTTGGTCTACCCAGGGTTGTATCCTTGGGTGGGTGTGGTTCACACTGCTCCCGAACACCATTGTTTACCAAATCAGTTGCGCCCAAATCTCAAATCAGGCTGGATGTACCGAGCGCAATAGGGCTCGTATAAACAGATGTCTGACAATCGACGGAGATGAGTTCTAGGTGGTGGATGAATTTGTGTACCTCCCCAAGTAGCATTTCTTGTTTTATTGCACTCTATTAGTGGTTTTTGAGATAAATTTTATAAAACCGTCAATAAAATTAATAGCTCCAGCACAATCTTTTGATAACCGCTATAAGATCGTCTTACAGCTTAGTGGACCACTCTTGATAAGGTTTATAAAGCATGTTTGAGAATCACAATAAAGCTGTCTTAAAACCTTTTGTCAGAAAGCCTCACACTCCTCAAAAGGTTCTCATAGCCTCTTTAAGAGTAATATTGTATTCAAGCAGTCTTATTACGCTTTTGTGAAAATCAGTTATAAATCCAATTTTATTTATATTTGCTTCAAAGCAACCGCCATCATTTAGCTTGTTGTTGTTCTGTTCTGTTGAAACTTTTTTTTCCATATGGAAATCTTTAGCGGTAAAAATAGGTTTGAGTGTTGGTGTCAAGATCACCATGTAATCAATTTTGTTTTATGGTGACATTAGTGAAAATCTTAAAGAAAATATGTGACTTTTTAGAAGTTCCAAAACATATGCGATTGAAATTTTATCGTGTATATTGGGATAATATGAGCGTTAAATAAATGTGCCTCCAAAATAATCCAAGTTCACAAAAAATATTGTTTCAGAAATCAAATTAATTTGATGGAATCATCTTAATTTTACAGAAAATAGATCTCAATAAATAAATTCATACCAATACACATTGGTAATCATTTCGGATATCTTATTTAGCCATTAAAGGGTGATACGGTCAAAATTTGGTCAAGGGAAAACGCGTGTAAATCGGTGAAATCGTTTATTTAAAAAATCAAATTAAATTTCTTTTTCAAGTTCAATTAGTATAAAATTCAGGAAAAATATTCAGTTAGGCTTCCGCTTTTCCAAATCCGAATTGCCGGGCCTTACGCTTGACCCCTGCCATCAGATTTTGTACAGCCACCTTGTCCACCTTCTTCGCCGCAGAAAGCCAGTTTGCCTTGAACTGCTGCTCGCCCTTAGCAGTTTTTTTGGTCTTCTTTAGGTTCCGATTGACAATAGCCCAGTATTTCTCAATTGGGCGGAGCTCTGGCGTGTTGGGAGGGTTCTTGTCCTTGGGAACCACCTGCACGTTGTTGGCGGCGTACCACTCCATGGCCTTTTTACCGTAATGGCAAGATGCCAAATCCGGCCAAAACAGTACGGAACAACCGTGTTTCTTCAGGAAAGGCAGCAGACGTTTATTCAAACACTCTTTCACGTAAATTTCTTGGTTGACAGTCCCGGAAGCTATGAAAATGCTGCTTTTCAAGCCACAGGTACAGATGGCTTGCCAAACCAGATATTTCTTTGCGAACTTTGACAGTTTCATGTGCTTGAAAACATCTGCTACCTTTCCCCTTCCTTTTGCCGTATAAAACTCCTGTCCCGGAAGCTGCTTGTAGTCGGCTTTGACGTAGGTTTCGTCGTCCATTACCACGCAGTCAAACTTCGTCAGCATCGTCGTGTACAGCCTCCGGGATCGCGCTTTGGCCGTCGTATTTTGTTTATCATCGCGATTTGGAGTCACTACCTTCTTGTAAGTCGATAGTCCGGCTCGTTTTTTGGCTCGATGCACGGTTGTAGACGATACACCCAGCTTATTTGCGGCATCTCGGAGAGAGAGGTTAGGGTTTCGCTTGAAACTACCGGCAACTCTCTTTGTCGTCTCAGCGGCTTCCGGTTTTCGATTTCCCCCCGATCCAGACTTCCTGGCTGTCGACAAACGTTCCCCAAACACTTTAATTACATTTGTAACGGTTGATTTGGCAACTTTTAGCGATTTTGCCAACTTTGCGTGCGAGTAGCTCGGATTTTCGCGATGCGCGAGCAAAATTTTGATACGCTGCTCTTCTTGCTTGGACGGCATTTTGACAACTGAAGAGTGAATTCCAAAATCAAAATAGGAGCAACATTCTACACACACACACACACACCTTCAAAATGAGGGGTGTTCAGATTTTTTAAATGCAAAATTGAAAGAAATACGTCAAGTTGATATTGACCAAATTTTGACCGTATCACCCTTTATTTTATTGAAATTTCTTGGATTTTATTCCAAGGCTAATGGCATTTTCATAATGACAATATGGCGACAGAGGACAGCAGGCAAGAAAAACACCAAGCGCAATTTCTTAAAATGTCTAATGCTTACATTGCAGACTGGGTCAGGAATGCAACCTAGCGGAGCAGAATTAATAACTCCAAAACGAAGCATTTCCGCGACTGTGTCTTGGGCAAAGTTTCTTATCATAATAAGGACCATCTATTGACATAAACAAATAGTTCAAAACTCTTCCGCAAAGATGGCGTCACAATCTAACTTCTTTCTCTGACGTTTTGGAGACTTGATGTCTTGGGCAAAGTTGTTTATCTTGACAAAATGAACAGCTCTTTCAAAGACGTGAAATTTCCACAGCCTGCTGGTTCCAAGTTATATGGAGTTAACAAAATGTCGAAAATATGAGTTTTTCTTTCTGTTTCGGTGTTTTGCTTACAACCATATTATGTTGTATTTTTCTCTTATGCAAATGCATTAAATAAGTAACTTTTGTCAAGAAACATACTGGAAATAGCTTCAAATTTCAAAGATATTGTTGAA